AACTCAAGGGGAGCAGAGATACAGTGGCTGGCGAGAGAGAACACATTACTGGAGAGATTTTAAATAGTATCTGCAGATATGCACATTAGAACTCCTGGGAAATATATGAGTATGTATGCTATATACCACATGCCAAAATACACAGTTTTATAACATCTTTTTGCCATAAGGATAAAAAATGTGGGAAGATTAAAAAAAAACCCAACCAAACAAACAAACAAAAAAAAACCAAAACAAAGACAACAAAACAAAACATAAATCGTGGGGAGAATTGCAGCCAGGAATTGGCTTCATTTCTCAATGAAATTTTTGGTTTTCAGTTTTTGTTAGCATATATTAATTATCCAAACTAATGTGCTCTATTAAAACAATTACACAAATACATATACTGTACTTTTATCATGTTTGCCTTTCCAGATTTTTCATTTTTTTATTACTTTAGGGTTTTTCTTTAATTGTTAGTTTTAAAAATTCAAGTTAGGCAGTGGTGGTACATATCTTTAATCTCAGCACTCAGGAGGCAAAGGCGGGTGCAACTCTTGAGGATGGGGTCAGTTCGGTATATGGTGCAAAGTCCAAGTCACCTGGAGTTATACAGAGAAAACTTTTTTTAAAAAAGGCAAAGCAAAAGCAAAACAAAAACAAAATTTTAAATCCCCTCCATCTGCCCTCCATCTCCCCAATGTCCAGCACTTTAAGTTCTTCCCTGCCACTCCTACTTTCAAATTGACAGCTTTATTGTTGTGAACAAACAATATAAGGTGCACAAAAATATAAATCCAACCTGCTGAGTGCATTCAGTTAATTTGTGTGTATATGTTTGCAGGGAACAGCACTTTGAACTCAATAACCAATCAAGTAACCAAGTAACCCATCTCTGGACTTAGCTAATTATTCTAACTTTTTTTTTTTTGGTTTTTCAATACAGGGTTTCTTATTATTATTTGTATTGTTTTGGAACCTGTCCTGGAACTAGCTCTGTAGACAAGGCTGACATCGATCTCACAGACATCCATCTGCCTCTGCCTCCCGAGTGGTGGGATTAAAGGCGTGCAGCACAAACACCCTGCTTCTAACTATATCTTTTACCATCTCCTCTCTCCTGTTTTCTCCTTTGGCCACTGCCTATTTTTAGTCGTAGATTCCACATACATGATAAAACAGACTATTTATCTGTATATAGAAGCACAAATTCATTTCAAAGAACACAATTTCATTCTTTTTGGCTTAATAAATATTGCTATGTATACACATTTTCTTTACCCACTCATGGGTAAATGGGTTAATGACTGATTACACGACATGTGCTACAGTGAACATGCCACTGTGGGTAACTATTGTGCACTGATGCTAACTAGTAGCTTTCAGATGTATGTAAACACACACACACACACACACACACATATGTATGTGCGTACATATATGAGTCTGTCATGTTGGTAAAAATTTAAGCATCATTAACACACATGGTTGACTAAGATAATGCAATGTTGAAAAAAAAGCCTTTTAGAAAACTCCTTAGGATGACCAATTTTGCTGATTTATATATACTGCAGACTTAGGAGTTACACACACAGAATATATATATATATATATATATATATATATATATATATATATATATATCAGAATCCCAACGAGCAATGTCAAAAGTCAGAATATACACACTTGTGATTGAAAGAAGCAAGCCAGGGTTGCACACATAACTGAAACATTATTCCACTCTCATGAAAAAGTTACTATCTTTAACTTTAATATATGGACTAAGTACGAACTGCAATGAAGAGAGGAGGAAGCTGCTAGAGCACTATGATTTATGTCTTGTGAGTGGTCCTCACTCAGGTGAGTCTCCTTTGTAAAGCATTGAATCATAATGGCTGTTTGTGCTCTTTATATTATACTTGTTAGAAAATAAAATAATTGCTATCAAAATGCTGAAACACCAAGTAGTTTATCCAAACTTGTGTGACAAAACTGTTTAGGATACTTGACATCATAAGTAGAACAATGTTGTTAATAAAAACACCATTAATTGCCATAATGATGACACAAAGGGAGGGGGAAAATCAAGCTGCCTTCTTATCTTTTCATTAAGAGTTTGTAGATTCATGACCCCAACTGGATGGCATTCCCCTACATATGGTATTGTGGTGGGGGGTTGGGAGGGGAGGGTGTTTAGAGTGCATGTGAGAGGGCAGAGAGGGTAAAAGGGAGGGAAGGACGGAGGGAGGGCTGGAGGGGAGGGAGGGAAGGAGGGAGAGGGAACTGGGATCGATATGTAAAATACTAAATTAAAAAAAAAAAAAAAAAAAAAAAAAAACGCTTTGACTCCAAAATTTAAGTTGAAGAACAAGTTACTGGGGAAAAGGATTTCTATTTTTGTTTCCACAGAAAATGAAAAGATGTGGATTCCTTCCAGACTAATGTGGTTTGATCACGCCAGACCACATGAAACAGAGTACAAGCTGATCGTACATTCCAAACAGCTGGACAAAACAGCCCTACAGACTACAGCTAGGATATCTGAATCTTCTTTGAATCCCCCAAGACAGTGCCCCTTACCAGCAGGAAGTAGTTTGGAAAGAACGACGCCCAAATTCCCAAATATTGTGTATAAATGTTTGTTTTCATTTAATTGGACTTTGTTATATAAAATTAAATAAAAAATTATATATTAAGAAAAAAAGAGTTTGTAGATTATGTCAGTAAGAATTACAAGCGAGGGTAGACTCTGTGTGTATGCACATGTGTGAACACATGAACAAGTGTGTGTGTGTGTGTGTGTGTGTGTGTGTGTGTAAGTTGTCATGCATCTGTGCTTGTCTGTACACTCCCAGCCAATGGTTGTATAGTATAGTAGAATATGTCAAGTGTCCTGCTCTATCAAATTCTACTTTAGCCTCTTGAGACAGGTTCCCTCACTGAAATTGAAGCTTGCCACTTTTCAGCTGGATTGCCATCCAGCAATCTCCTGATTCATACTCTATCCCCTTTCCATGCTAGTGTTATAGAAGTGAATTACCATATTTTGCTCTTAACATGGGTGTTGGGGCTCAGAGCTCACATCTGCCTGCTTGTACAGCCAAACCTCTTACCCACTGAACTGCCCTCCTTTGCCCATCAGGCAAATTTTAATTTTTTCTTCTCTCATATAGTTAATTCCAATCAATTTTCCCTCCTTCCCCTCTACCCAAACTCTCCCCTCCACCTTCCCTCTGCCCAAGATCAATCTCCCTCTTTATTCCCTCAGAAAAGAGCAGGCCTCCCAGAAGACATCCAACAACTGATGGGAGCAGATATAATGTCACACATTAGGCAGAGCTCAGGGGATCCTGCAGAGGAGGGAACCAGAGGGGTCAGGAACACCACAAAACAAGGTCTACAGAATCAACTAACAGGTAATCATGGGGGATTGCAGAAAACAGGAGCTACCCTGTAGAGGTCTAACCTAGGTTCCCTACATATATATTATGGTTGTACAGCTTGAAGTTCTTGTGAGATTCCTAACAGTGGATCAACTCTTTTTACCTACTTGTGTGACCCATCTCTTACTGCGTTTCTTCCTTCAGTGTTGATGTGATAGTAAGTGTGTGGTCTTACGGTAGCTTGTTATTTCATGTTTTGTGGGTGTCCCATTCTTTTGTGTTGAAGGTTTTTACTTAATGAAACAGTCATCTTATACTAAAGTTTGATTTGAAAAGTTTCAGTTGTTTTAATAACGATATGCAATTACATCTGAAGAAATCAATCAACATAGTGAAACATATTTAAAGACATGTATATTAACTATTAAAGACTCAAGGTCAATTCTGGTCTCACACTGCTCTTCATAGGATCCTAGAATTCATTTACTAGTATGGTCATTTATGTATGATTGTCATCACTTCCTCTCAGGCCTTCATTTTATTAGAGTTTGAAACAAGCTATTCTTACTCAATGTGGCTCCAGGATTTGGAGGCTACACTTTTGTGTCCCCGCTTTCCCAACTTTGTCTCATGATTTCTGTGTAAATCACTTGAGTTCTTTAAAAGTAAGTTTAGAATTGACAGATTTAGAGCCACAAGAGTTTTGATAGTATGGCAATAATTTTTATGTGTAGTAAATCACTGTGGTCCCATTCCCATGTTAGATTAACATTCTTCATTTTAAAAGATAGATTTCTTGAGTCTTGAATCTAGAATGATTATCTATATTTAATTTACCCAACACATTAAATTTTCTCATAATCTTTTCATGTGCTTTAGGCAGTTGTTGACTATATTGCCCTATATATGGGAACTTTTCTGTTTGCTGACTCTTGCCCCAATTTGAAACCTTTTTCAAAATTCTTTTTCATAAAGTATATCAGTGAAAAACATAATACGTGAAAAATTAAAGATGTCAAAATTTCCCTCACAAACAGAAACACACTCTGAAACAGACACACACACACAGACTCAGGAATAATTACAATAATTATAACTGAAATGCTTAGATCAAAACCCTCTCAATTCTAGGCTCTCAAACATAGTCTCAAACAGCTGGTTTCTGTTTTTCTCTTCCCAGAATGATTCAATCTCAGAAACCAATTGAATCCACACAACAGTGTGACTTAGAAAGATTTGTAAGTTGGTATCTGACTCTTGCTTGGTGTTTTCATGTTCATCCCTTTAAATCACAGTATTTTGCTTTGCCAGCTACACATTTAAGGAATCTAATCATTGCAGCTGGTTTCTTCTACAGCAGGGTTTCTCAACCTCAGGACTATTTTAATTTTTTAAAAAATTATGGGTAATTATTTGTGTGAGAGGCAATTCCTCATATTATGTAATATTTAGCAAAATCTCTCAAGATCCACATTATATTAGCATTCCCCTACCCCATTTGTAACAATAAACACTGTCAGTTGTCAATACTGACAAGGATATGGCAAAATCTTTACAGTGACACACAGAAGGAAAGCAAACTACACTATGGAAATACAGAGGAAGAAGAAAAGACGACATTTTTGACCAGGATGATTTAAGGTGTAAGCTCTCCAGGGGACCTTTATGCTTAGATAATTTGGACAGATTTCTTCTGTAATAAGAGGTAGAAACTTCAGAACTGTATCTAAGATTTCATTCCTGATCTCTGGCCTTCCATGTCACTCGACTTGGCTTTTCTTTTGGAGGTCAACTCGTAGCAACTGGAGCTTCTTTTGGATCTCAGTCAGAACACCGATTTTCTGCTCCAAAATGGACAGTGACTGAGCAATGCAAAAATCCACATCACCGTTTACTCCATCCGCTGTCTCCTGGATGGCCTCCCACCACTGGCTAGATCTCCTCCATGAAGCTACTGTGTCCTTTGTTAAGGCGATTTCGTTGCTTTCTTTCTCTTCCACATTCTGTACAATAGGTATTTGAATAAATCCCTGCCCCTGAAGGGGCTTTTCTGAATTAGTGTCCTCCTTTTCTAACACTACTGGTACTTCATGGTCAGTTGGAGAGAGGCAGTGCTGGTAGGGCCTTGACTCTAAAGCTAATTCCTTGACTCGGTTCGCATATCTTAAAGTATTGAGGGTATTTTCACAAGAAGTCATTCCAGGCGAGATAGTAGCAATCATGCAGGTGGAGGAATTCTGCCCTATGAAGGAGTCCCGTAGCACCTGCGTGAGTTTGCTGGCTCTGAATGGGGTGTGAGATTTGTTCTTCCCCAAAGCCCTGATGCATTCCTTCAGGGCCAGGAGACTCTTATTTATCTCGGCCCCTTCCAGCTGTCTCTTTCGTGTGGCTTTGGCAGTATCTGCCCCCCTTTCATTCCCAGCTAAGTCAACCAGGGAAAACTTGCCATGCAGTTTCCCTCCAGACTTGAGGATGAGCTGGAACACCGCGTGACTCCTAGATGAGTGGGCATTGACAGAGGTCTGTCCAGAAGTCCGACAGCTGTTTCCAACCTCCACCAGATTCAGGACTTCCTCCACACAAGACACTTCCTGCTCCTGCAGCCCCACAACTTGCACTTGCTGATTTCCATCTTCTAGGACTTGCAGCTTCTTCTTCCAGTTTAACAGATCATACACTTTGCCGCCATAAATCTCAAAAAATGTCCCATAGACTCTGAGTTCCAATTTCTCATAGGCAGGGTTTCTCAGTAGGAGAAAGACATCCCGAGCCACTAGGGCATAAATTCCTTTAGAACAATCTTGGGCCTTTCCGGAAAAGGCTCCACCCATGGTGTGAGTTTTCCCACTGCCAGTCTGCCCATAGGCAAAGCAAGTGGCCATGCCCTTCCGGAAGATGGACTCCACTAGAGGCCGGGCAGTGAACTGGTAAACTAACTCATTGGATGCTGTGTCATCAAAAGCATGGTCAAAACAGAAGGTCTGGTTTTCCAAGTAGCGGGTCAGGTCCACCTTTTGTTTAGATTCGTGCACCATGACCACATTGTGCGAAGGGATAGTGATGATATCTAGGTCCTTCATGGTTGTCTCTCTCTCATTAAGAGGGCGCTTCCTCACGCACACACAAATCCGGTGGTCTTCTGGGGGCTCCAGGCTGGACATCTTACTGCTGTCGAGATTCCTACGGTACTCCTCAATCATACGCATGGTCTCATAGTTCGGGTTTCCAGTGTTGATGTCAAGCGCTCGTCTAGCTCGGATCTCTAGCTGCAGTCGCCTGCGCTTTTCTCGCTGCTTCTGCAGTTTTTCAATTTCCCTTAGGCAGGGGGATTTCTTTCGCTTCATCAGACAAGGGTTGCTGGGGACCACCAGGGCTTGGCTGTCCCCTGAGGGTGTTTCGTTTCTGTGAGGGATCATCGCAATCCACTTGGTGGCTGTACGCTGGTCCCCGATGGCAGTAGGGGGTATTACAGACACTGTGCGCAGGGATCTGTGTGACCGTTGTTCAGCAGAGGCCAGAGCTGGATTTAACAGAAATACAGTCTCTAGTTCGATCCTCTTTCCCTTTTTGACTCCTTTCTCAACCCACTCTACTGTCACCCAAGAGTTTTCTCTGTTGATCTCTGTGACCACAGCCAGGTGGATCCGTTTGTCGCTGCGCTGGATCGCCACACAGATACCCACCTGGAAGTCTGTGAAGTGGGATTTCAAAGGTTTAAGGGGTGAGAGGCGTGGGGCTAGAGGAACGCAGAACTGGCTGGCCATGATGAGTGGTGGAGTTACCAGGGCTCGCTTTCTGAGCCTTTTGGCGTTGGCGCAGGCAGCAGGACCTGAGTCCAAGCCAGCCTGAATGCCTGGAGCTCGAGCACGGGTGTTCGTTGCTCCAGCCTTTGTGAGGCAAGTGATAGGCCATTGGCTGAGGGTCCTTGCGTCACAAAGGGACCAAGAGAAGATACGGAAGAGATGAAAGCCTGTAGGTATAAAAAAATAAGTCAGTGGCACCATCTGTGTTGTTTGACGAGTATAGAAGCTGCTGAAATAGTTTGTCCCCTATCAGTGAACATGGATGGATCTAAGGACTGTGTGTTTGGGGGAAGAGGACAGGGGTGATGTCTGGATCTAGGGGTGAAAAAATATAGGAAAAAATACAGATATAGGAATTGTGGTTTTGGTTAGTGTAAGCACCACGAATGTTCAGTATCATATATGCTTTGGACATGTCCATTCTCCCCTGAGGTCTTAACCTGACATCTGTTGTTCAGTTTAAGGACAGCTATGAAATCCCCTTGAACTCTCCAGGTATCAGTGGGGACAGATGAAGGTAGGAAATTACAAATCTGAGGCTTCACGAAAAAAAAAAATGCAATATACTGCAGAAGAACCCTCTAATTGGCCCCATCCTCTTCCATACTTGTCGACTACTCACAGAAAATAAAGTTATGCAAGCTTAATGGACTTTCTCATTACAAAATCAGAATGAGTTGAATGGAACAGGTCATTGTAATTTGCGAAGGCAGAACTTCTTCGGTACAGTATTTGAGCTTTGCAAACACAAGATGCTTATCACATCCCAAGTGATTCTGACATCTACAAAGTGAGTGTTGTGTTTGTTGTCACCACTGAGCTTGAGAACAAATCAGTAATTACACCCCAAACCCCTTCAGTAATTACACCTCTGACCACATTACCACAGTGGAAAGAAATAATACATGCCACCCCCAATCCTTCGCATCATCTTCCCTCCTTCCCCCCTCCCTCTCTCTTTCTGTCTCTGTCTCTACCTCTCTGGAGCACTTTACATGTTGCTAAGGAAGGAGTAGGAGCAGAGTTAGTAGCAAAATAGCTGAGGTCACCTGAGTGGAAAGTGTATTTACTCAAGAGTGAACATGTTTTGTGTGGGGTGACTTCCTTTCAAATAAAAATGACTAATGTTCAGATAATCTGAGGATGAAAATGACAAGGATGCCCAACTCTGTTCCCTCATGAACATTGTCCTCTGAGTGGGAGTTATGTTTGTAGTCATGGCTCTGAGAATACATGCTGCAGTCAAGCTTCCTTACAACTTTCTTCAGGAACAAGGGTCACTACAGAAATAAATTCTATTATAACAGGACTTCCTTGTCCTCTACAGAAAATTTTGTAAATCTTAGATCACTTGATAAGGAAAAACATAAGGTTTTGAATACCAATGGAAAAAGAGAAAGAACTGTATATCATTTTATAATTTAAAAATGTTTAATTGTCCATATTAGCAATAATTAAACTTGTGCATTAAGTAAATTATTTTTATTGAATTGTTATTTCACAGGCATTCTGTAAATATCCCCATTCCCTCTATTTGTTACATTTTACTTTTTCTTTTTTCTTGCCTTTTTTTTTTTTTTTTTTTTTTTTTTTTTTTTTTTTTTGAGATAGGGTCTTAGGATCTCATGTAGCACAAGTTGGCCTCAAACTTATATATTTCGTTTATAATTACCTTGAACTTTCCACCATCCTGCTTCCATCTTCCAGTGTTGAGATTACAAATATTGTCGGGAGCAGTATTTTGGGCACCCACAAAGTATGAACTGCCACCTTATGCTTTATATTGTTCTGAGCATACAATCTTGGGCTTCATGCATGCTAGGCAAGCCCTTTACCAACTCAGCCTCACCCCCCAGCCCTAATAGCCTGTTTATAAGATTTATCTTTTAAAACTTGGTCTTCAGCCCTGTCGACAACCAGTCAAAGAAGGGGGATGACCTCATAGGGCCCTACATTTTAACTCTGAAGTAATATTGACTCTTGAGTGATTCAGAGAGAGAGAAATCACTTGTTTTACCTGTGCTTCTGATGATCTCACCAGGTTCCAAAAGAGACCTCCAAAACCAAAGTCACACAGATAGCTCAGATTTGTCTAAGTCAGTCTCAAACAAAATGAATAGAAATGAATATGAGATATTTCTGGTGAGTTGAAAGTAGCAGGGAAGTAGGAGACATGAGATGTTAGTGTGTGTGCAAAATGTGTATATGTTGTCTTAGTTTGGGTTACTGTTGCTGTGATGAAAGACCATGATCAAAAATAAGTTGGGGAAGCAAGAGTTTATTTGCCTTCAACTTCTACATCATAGAAGGAAGTTAAGACAGAAACTAAAGCAAGGCTGGGACCTGGAGCGGCTTGCTCAACCTCCTTTATTATAAAATCCAGTACCACCAGACAGGGATGGCACCATTCATATATCTGGGCTCTCCTCTACCAATTAATAATTAAGAAAATATCCTATTGCTGAATCTTTTGAGGACATTTTATTAATTGTTACTCTTCCTTTTATATTACTTTAGCTTGTGTCAAGTTGACATAAAACTAGCCAGCATATATGTACCACTTATAATTAAATTTAATTAATACTTAGATCATGGTCAAAAATGCAAACCGTGTTCTCCCATACTTGCCATATTTTGTCTCTTAGGCTAGTAATTCTTACAGCTAGGCTATAGAGGGCCCTGATTGTAATGCCAAACATCAGAGACTAAGGTTTTCTTTGTGTTACTTTGATTCTTTTTTCTCTCTAACCTACCAACAGTGATTTCCCTGTCCCCATTGGAGAGCCTTTTTCTCAGTTCTAGTCTTCTGTGGTCTCCCTAGAATATCTTATTTGTTTCCTCAGATTAACTTCAAGTATAGCCAATTAGTTAAATAATTGATAAAATAGACTCCAAGTCCTGCATCTGTAGATGCCTACAGGAATTAAAAACAAAAAAAGAAAAAAAAAAAAAACAAAACAACAACAACAACAAAAAAAAACCCATGGTGAGAATTTGCTTTCTGAAATGGCATCTCTTTAGAGTGTGTGTGTGTATGTGTGTGTGTGTGTGTGTGTGTGTGTGTGTGTGTGTGTGTTAGAGGTCAGAGGTTGATGATCACTCTTCCCCTTACTTCTTTAGTTAGACTGGTTGCCTATCCTACTCTCACTGTCTCCCATTGTGGTATTTAAGACACCCTGGCTTGCCAAGCTTCTCTGTGGTTTCTGGTGATCTGACTAGAGATCCCATGCTTGGATAGCAAGTCTTCTATCCACTGAGTGATGGTTCCTCATTCTATCCTTTGTGAATATTAACTGTATTTTCTTGCTTTTAAAATTTATTCCCTTTCTAAACTCTAATGCACCGTTCATCTCCCTTAACCCTACTGGAATTTAGAGCTATACTGTTTTGTAGAAGTAAATAGAGATCTTTGAACTTGAGACAGTATTTGGAATCTCAACAATTGTGATCTGGTCTCCCCTAGCAGCCCCATCCAGTCAGGGACTTAGGTTATTTTTCACACTGAACCTGGAGTTATTTGCCCATATGTTTATCAGTTCTCCACTTGGTGGCTTTCCACCACTCAGTATGAAGGCACACACCACACATTGTTGTCTGTTTCCTTTGGATCCTCAGGACTTGCCAATGTCCACAATCAGCCTAAAGAGGACCTGGGCTGAAGAAATTAAAGTTTACTTAATGTACTGTTGTAATTCAAATTATGGAGAGTTGTTTAGGTATTTTATAGATTTTCTAATCTGGTAATCTATAATTTATCTTTGCTGCCATAAATTTTAAGACTATCCACATAAGTCTCCCTATTGCAATTTATTCTGAGGGATGAGTTCATTTAAGAAGACAATGAGAATCTTGAGTAATGAGATAAAAGAGGCATTAATCACAGTGTGAAAGTCTAGATGAAGTTAGGACACCACCCCTGGCTAAGGCCCAGACAGGCATTTGGTTGATGAATAGTTTTTAGGCCAAGGCTACCACTTCACATATTTGAGGGAAGTTAACAAAGGAAAAAATACCTAGGAAATAATTTCATGAAGTTTCTCCAGTCAAAGGAATCCTGAACTTAAAGAGCTGACTATGGAGTATTATATTAATTGATGTAGGCAGACTCCCCTTATTCCTGGGAGGAAACATTCCCTGGGATGGAGAACCTGAATTATAGAAATCAGACAAAATGTGTTGAGGTGTAGCAAACTTGCATTATTCCTTGATGCCTGTTCATAATGATGGATATGATCAGACCTGCTGCTTCAGCCTCCGTCTTGATTTCTCTAACCTAATCAACCATTCCTTAGAACTATGAACCAAGACAAATCCTTCCCTTCTTAACTTGTCCTTCCAGGGACTTTTTAATCACAGCAACAACAACAGAAAGAAAGAAAGAAAGAAAGAAAAAAAGAAAGAAAGAAAGAAAGGAAGGAAGGAAGGAAGAAAAGAAAAGGTATTAAGACACTACTTACACATGTTCCTGCTAAACCCATGCCTCTACATACAACTGAATAATAGATCCTATTCATCCAAATCTCCCCTTTCCAAAAGCTTAGCATGTAGCAGATTAATATATCCATGAGAGAAATTTGTGTGGGAAGAAGTAAATAGGAAATGAGATTAGTAATTTTCACTTATTCATTACAAAAATTTCCATTTCAAGGTTTTTCAAAGTTGCTTTCCAGAACAGAATGTGATTTCTATTTTCATTTAACATGTGAGTCCCTCAGGATAAGTTAAAGTGCTTTTCCAGCAATGTTGTAATAGACATGGAACAGCTGTTGGGTGTGTTTGACCACCATGGAAGTCTAGTGTATCAGACTGCAACCTTAAGTAGATTTAGTTCCTCAGAACAGATCAGTAGACTTCCCCAAATCTCTTTGAAAAATTGATCATTTTAAGTTTAAAAGAATCTTTTCCTTTAAAGAGTCCAAAGAAACTTTCAGAATTTATCTGGTGAAAACCGTTTAAAACCTATATGTCTGTTACTTAGGATATCCATCCACAAAGCTTTTCAAGATGCAGAATATACTATACGTTAATGTTTAACTTTAAAATCATGAATGTAGCTTATTCTCAATTTTCACTTTGATTTTAGCATGTTAAG